AAGTTTTGGGAGTCATTTTTGGGAGTGATGTTTTGGAACTCAGGTTCTGGGACATGTTTTGGGACTTGTGTTTTGGGACTCGTACAACCCCCGACCAATCATCTTGTTGAAATACGGCGGTCTGTCACTTTTTGCAGGATCTGTTTGACACACCTGGTATTCATCTTCACCATAGGATGCCAGCTGTCGTGGACCCCGCGGACCTTCCTCTACTTGCTCCTCGGCGCCGAATGCGGCCATACATCGTTTCTGCGCCGATACCCGATGAACCCGCCAGGAAAGCCAGGCACGATGACGAGGGCCTTCATTGGGGAACACTACCGACAGACACAGTATCAGGCCAATCATTTGTGACGGCGATAGGGGGAGCGGCTGCTGGTGATCAGTCAGGTCTGGAAATAGCCACGGGAGCAGCAGCAGAAAACAGAGTGCAGGCGAGAGGTGCTGGGAGCAAAACGGGGCTTGCCGGTTGGTCGCTCTTTTGGGGCGGGCTTGCGAGAATAGACATCCTACAGGTGAGACAGTCTGCTCACTCAACTCAGTATTGCACTTGACCACATTCGCCGAATGCACATTACATTGTATGATGGTGTAGCCTTCTCAGGGGTGGTCCTTGCACCGGCCAGGAGAAACTCTGGACAGTGGAGGGAGACCGGCAGGAGGTTTTAATTTAAAGAAATAATAAACTAAAATAAAACAAATGATGGTGTGTACCTTGGTTGACTTGTTGCAAGAATGAGGGACCTCGAAAAGGTTCTTAACAATAAAAGTAAAAAATTGTAATTAACCTGAATCCAGGGGAAGGATGAGACTGCTATCAGGGTATGTATGGAATGGATGAAACGCTCAGAGGGAGACTTGGGGGGGGGGGGGTTCTTTCTTTCTTTCTTTCTTTCTTTCTTTCTTTCTTTCTTTCTTTCTTTCTTCTTTCTTGTTATTAAAGCTTTATTTGAGGTGTAAGTACAGCTCCGGGGTATGTCATGATAGCAGATCTGCAGTAGAGCATCTCTATCTCTGTATATTACCAAGAATGATGACAATGTTCAGGGACGCTAGACCCGGTTTCCACCAGGTGCTGCTCCCCACCAATAGATGGAGCCTCCCCAGAATGCTAGGGTGCCTGCTCTTATCAGCACATCTAGCATCCACCCGGGGTTAAAAAAAAAAAAAAAAAAAAAAAAAAAAAAAAAAAAGAAGAAGCAGCTTTATTTGAGGTAGGAAAGGAAAGATTGGCTTTGATCCAAAAAAAAAAAGGAAAAAAGGAAAGCCTAGTGACTTTTTGGGATTGGAGCCAATGTCATTGGATCAGTACCTCTGGGTGTCAGCCCTCGTCCGTGCAAGCACGGACTCGAACCGGCAACCTCGGGCCTAAAGAAGAGGCAAGTATCGTAACCACTACAGGCAGGACACGGTGTTCACGAGTGGAACCCTACTGCAAGGCTGTAGTATGCAAACTCAACACACACCACACACAACAACAGCGCACACACACGCGGCAGTTCACGCCGCACACCTCGCTCGTGTCCACAATCAGCACGTAATCCGTACCGCAGGTACTCCCTCCCGTCCACCATAAAGCACTCACGAAAGAAACAAACGAAACAAAGAACAACGATTTCTGAAAACAAACCGCAAGCAAATCCCTAATATGTCTCCTGTTTATTATTGTCTCTTACGTATTTGTCCCTCATTTTATGTGTTCTTATGTCTTTTGAAACTGGCTGGGGTGCATGGATCAGGCTCCGCCATCGGCTAAACTCGCCTTCTACGGCGCAACAGCCGTTCGGGTCCACTTTGTGCAAACAAGTGAAGCAGACGACTTCTATGAGGTACTTTTTTTTTTTTTTTTTTTTTCTTGTTGTTGTTGTTGTTGTTGTTGTTGTTGTTGTTGTTGTTGTTGTTGTTGTTGTTTGGGCAAAGGGGTTTGTATACAATAGGATTCGAACTCAGGGGAAAGAAGGGAAAATAAAAAGGATGCGAACTCAGGGGTTTGTACAGACTGTTGCGATTTGTGTCTTCCTTGTGCAAACAAGTCAAGGCATACTCACCATAGGACTTCTTCTACTGAGCTCTGGACGTGATTGCAGTCAGATTCATCCAGGTCTGGCTGTAATTGGAGTTAGATACATTCAGCAGCGTGAGTATGCCCTCAAGCTGATGATTTGTACGAGGTACGGGTACTATGGGTGTTCTTGTGTTCGGTTTTCTTTGTGAAAGGGGTTTGTTGTAATAGGGGTACCCTTTACTATGGATGATTTGTACGAGGTACGGGGTCCCTTTTCTTTGTCAAAGGGGTTTGTAATATGGGTACCCTTTACTATGGATGATTTGTACAAGGTACGGGTACCCTTTTCTTTGTCAAAGGGGTTTGTAATAACTTTGTATACAGTGACATAAACCTCATTATTCCAATCCAACTCATAACATGCATGCAGAGAACGTTCAGATGAAAGTTCACACCACAACTGAGAGTCGACACATGAATCAGTGCCAAATGAATCTCCACTCAAAAATACGGTCAGGTTCAAAGCGGTCTGCAATGGCATCTGACAACCCAGCTCGACACAGGGATGTACCAAACTCCCCTTTCCCTTGGTGCCTGACTCCCTCCCTCCCTCTCTCTCTCTCTCTCTCTCTCTCTCTCTCTCTCTCTCTCTCTCTCTCTCTCTCTCTCTCTC